TTCAGACATTTTTGGCTGGACCTCAGCACCATCATTGTCTCTCATTTTTTCAATTATTTGCAGATGATGTTCATCATCCATTTGGAGATATGGTGTAATTGAGTTGGTGTTCAAATGTCCAGTAATTTTTATTAACTGCTGTTCTCCAACCCCTTTCTTAGCCAATTTTGAAACGGCTGTTGCTCGCAGAGAATAATTTGTCAGTTTTTTTGAGGCAGTAGCTAGACCTGCTTTTTTCTGCTTGCTTAGTCCACTGACTGATCGTATTCCTACCAGAAGGTATATTTTTGTACCATTCACTCGTTTTCCAAGCAGGGTTCATTATTAAAAAGAGACGGTTTATTTTGATATTTGACCTCTTCTGCATGAATTTGTGAAAGAGTCGAACTGGGAAAATCTGAGAATTAATTCGATTACGAATTAACCACTTCAATGATGCGCATGGTCCCTCCCACCTTGTGTCGTTTTGGTAAATATTGGATTATATTCAACTCTTCCGCTTTTTCCGCCTACATTGTCAACTTCTTTGAAATATGTTGTCAAGYATCTCGATCCTTCTCCTCCACGCCATGCTAATTCATAGCATAACACAAAGAATAGTTTYTTTTGCAGACCACCTGGAGTGTCTTCATCACAGCTTTCGRCCATTTTMTTAAATTCCTCATATTTCATGAAAACAGAGCWTCCTTTTCTTTTCTGGGGCTCCTCRTTGTAGCTCCWTCMSTTTTGCRTTTTTAGCTTCKCGAGCCAATTTAAATTCGATGTCTTGAAACGGATTAAAGCGAACGTTATGTTCATAGTAGTATTTATCCATTAGTAATTTAGCAGTAACATTCCAAATAGTTTTTATAGTATATTCTTTAACATCCTCACCATTCTATCTTTTCATGTTGAACGCCCAGTCTTGTAGAATGTTTGCAATTTGGTGCACTGTAGTGTCTTTACTTAAGTTGTAACGTCTTTCWTCACAAAATGCTAGATATATTTATTGTTGATATTATTATTTAACTGCCGCCARATATACTTTTGATTGTTCATAGTATTCGTGGGCACGGTCGCAGCAACAACTTTGACACCAAAACGAGACATTTTTGTTAAGTTTAAATAACAAATATGATTTGAATAACTTAGGAATGTCCGGATGGCATTTGATGTCTAATTCAACAGGAAAAGACACCTGTCAAATAATTTTCATAAACAATGCAATTATCGTTGAGGGATAATTGCACACTGTGCAATTACGTACAGACTGTACATTACGTACAAACGTACAGATCATCATACGAAGGAAATATTCATCTTAATGTCACATGTGACATCTCTGAACTACCAGTATAACACACTCAGTGTCTCTGTCAAACTTTCAGCGGTATTCCCTCAAGCAACTTTTTTTTTTTTTGAATTTATCAATACACCCTCATCTGACCGTTTCATATCTCCGTAAAACTCTTACCGTGACCAAAACACTTAAAATTTTATAAATATTTTATGCGCATTTTGACTGACGACGAAAGAACAGGTTAGTCGGACCCACAATTGCCGCATTTTAACAATCAATGAAAACGACAACTTTCAGATGGAAATTGAAAACGTTCGACTACTATTCCCAAGAAAATTATGTACACTTCAGGTAAAGCCTCAGAAATTGTCATCAAAGTAAAAGTATTTGTTTCCATTCCATACTAAGCTACAAGATAGTGTTCAGTAGACTATTGTGAGTTGGTGCATTTATTTATTGTCATGGAAAAAGTCCAATAAAGCACCTCAACTCCTTAGTATAATTATGTCATTAAGTCAATTAGTCGCTATTAGTGAACTAATAACATTCATGCGGAATGTATATTTACCTTTGAGGATTGTTGTTGGGTCCTCCGATGACCGCCTGGACTTAAATGATGTTGATGTATTATCGGTTGTGTGACCAAATACTGGGCACCACTGCCCTCTTCTCGCTCGTACGAGTTCTCTCGACTCGTTTCGAGCGATCTTTGAGGCGTGTTCAATTGATGAGCAGCGGTGCGGAATTGAGACGCGGAAGAATTCGCATGTTGTCCAACTGGATAATTCAGATCGGATGTGTAATCGCTATCCTCCGAATATCCCGCTGAAATGTCATTGTCAAAGTGATTACTATTGGCTGAAAAAGAAACAGAATAGAGGGGTAGGGTGGGAGACAGTGTGTAAAATAGAAGCGTAAAATGCATTTTCATCCGACTTTTTGATTTGACTTGAATTTTCGCGATAGACAACTAATCAAATCAATAGATGTAAATACATTTTTAAAATGATGAGTGCGATGGGATGAAGAAATGATGATGACGGGGACATTTCAGGTATTACTATTAGAGAGTTGATCAAATCTATTCAGTTACCTTGTAAGCATRTATTAATAWTTTTTTTCATATACAGAGTGKTTTTTTAGGGCGAGAGAGTCCATTATTTCCGTTGATATTGAACTTTCGAAAAATAGTTTCATATAAAAGTTGTTGACGCACAAAGTGCGGACATTTTAAAAATATTTTATATGATACAGAGTGTCTCAGAAAAGCGAGGCAAGATCAAAGTGTATTTTTTTAAATAGAAYTACCCATYTTTCATCAGCTCATGAAATGCAGCTTRAAACGTTACATATGCACCGTAAAYTGTTTTTTGCWTAMWTGCGACGTTGACAGATTATCGCCATTTTCTTCGCCAAAATTTTGTCGGATTACGGATGCCAGCCACCCATCAATTTCATATAACCTAAGAGTCCKTTTTTTCGGTCGATTTATTTTGWRCCGATGAATTGTCGTTGTATTTGTTTATATGAAAAGTTTTATTCACGGGCAGGATGTTATTTTCAAGAACTCAGGTTGTTATTTTCAATCTAACAAACTACACTTTGGCGCAAAAACCAAGTTGTCACATTTAATAATAAKTTTGTAATTAATGAACATTTTTAATGCACTTAATACATATATTTCKACACCGCAAAAACCCCAACCTSCCATAAACGGTGCGAAATAGCAAGAGGTCAGCGTTCCCCCCGAAGAGCTCCAAACATTCTGAATAAATAATAACGAAAACGACCCAAAAAAACGCAAGTTGGTAAGCTGGCCTTACAATTGGGACCGCAGGCGTTACTAATTAATGTAAACAGAAGCAGTTCAAACTTTTTTGAATCTGAACTTTTTGTGGAGAATTACAAAAAAGGTGCGCAACACCTCGTTCTTTTAAGTAGAATTATAAACGCCGAAAACTGTGTTTCTCGCAAAGGTTTGTAAGAAGCTAATCAGTCTTAACGATCACTTTATTAAAATGCTTCTTATTATTCCATAATAAATTGTCAAGAAATGGAAACAGTCGGAGTTTAAACGCCACCAATTTTTGTTGCATTTGTCACTGTTTCTAAATATTGCTACTACAATATTAATGATGTTTTGGGCAGTAATATCGACTCTGATGTAATATGTAATAAGCGCTGTTCTAAAATAAAAATGTAATAGTAAGTTTGTTTTTATTACAAAGTCTCACGGCCAAAGTCTCATGTGTCTGAACTCATTGAACCGTAAAACGCCACTCTATGAAGGAGCTTTAAAATATATAGTATATTCAGAGGTCCGCAATAAAGTTTTCAAATTTCAGAGGATATTTTAAGACGTAAAGTCTTTGTACGTCTAATAACTCTTTGTACGGGCGTACACGGAGATCCATTTGAACATTTAATAAGGGAACAATAAAAAAGACAATTCTTTATTAGAGAAATACATATTAGCTAAAATTGCATTTGCAAATAGTTTACCATTCCGCTTCACGCTACGAAGTCGATGGAGATGAGTCGAACTTTAACCTATAATTTGTCAACATGGAATGCCTGGAGAATACTCCTATAAAAAAGCCCTCCTTAGGAAATATTTTGACAACGAAACTCTGCATAAATGATTGACATATATGAGCAATAAAAAATATGATTTAAGACGCTTTGCCTTGTTGGCGGATTCTAACGCGCATAACAAACAAAATAATTAATTAATTTTGAATTTCTAACTTTAACTTTGACGCACAAACTTTTGCTAGCCGTTCACTTTTAAAGTAGATATATTTTTCTAAATTAATTCTCTAGTAAATTTGCACCAATGTAAATCTTCCGGGAAAAGTAGCATTTTCTGTGTGCGGCACCCGACATATAACTAACTGAGCTGAACAAAAGCCAAAAGAAAATTAAATTAATTAACTTACACTAGATTTGCATGTAATATGCATTCGGTTACACTGATTTGAAATAGGGATGATCAAATTATGAAACTAATTAGATTAGATTGTGGAAAAATATACGTTTTAGAAGAACTTGGCCATCAATGGCCTAGAAGCCAGATATTTTTCTGATTTTGAGTCAAAGAAGGTCGCAGCAACCTTTTAATCATGTGCTTACTGGACACACTGTACTTCTACTGATATATCGACTAATGCGAACATGAATAATGAATATGAAGCGAATGAAACTATTTTCTTAAACTAAAAATAGTCTACTTACATCTACCAATGAAGTTGAAGTGTCTGTTGGCCTGCTCAGTTCTGGCCTCCATGTCTATCCATTTGTTTAAGGTTTCTAATTTTCTTTGTAAATCAGATGCGTCCATATTCTCAGGATCTGAAACCAAAGTAAGAATTCAACATTTGAAATGCATATAAATTAAAATAATTAAACATAGTTGGTGTAATCTAATGCGCACTGATAATCCTTCAACCGGGCAGGAGTAAGTAATGGGCTGGAAACGTTGTCTGTTGCTTATATTTAAGTTTCACCGGGTTAATTATTGTTGGTTTCACTAATGAATGGGCTTCGCAACTATTTAATTAACCTCCAACATTGGTCCAAAGTAAATTATCTAATGTCGCGGCTAATATGGGGAAACTAGTTGGTTCAACAATGTTTCGTCAATGTGCTGTACATATTGACATAAATTTAGGTCTTAGTTTAGTAGTTAGAACAAATTTTGCTCCAGCCACACCAAACAGGAAATGTGTATACACATAGTTCTGTTTAACCACAATAATATAATAATCGGATGTAAACAATGTTAAAATTTAAAACTATACTGACGGATTACTGATTATTTAGGTAAATTTTGTTAGGTGAAGAAGTAATGAATCAAGTCCGATATTGAATATGCAGGTTTTCCAGAAATATTAGAATTTCTTGGACGTCTCAATCTTGCAAACAACACTGCTTAAAGAATTTTGGTTCGGTGGGAAGAGGAAGTTCAATTGCGACTGGGGTAAAATTCATGTATACGTACTCGCTTTTAAAGTACGTTAAGTTTCTGTGCGCTTCTTGTAAAAACAAACGTAATAATAAAAACAAGATGTATACAGTTTTTAATGGATTAGCTCAATTCGTTCAGACTTTTTCTATTGAGGGAGTCTAGCTTTAAGCAAACGGTCGGTTGAAGTTCAGGTTTACCTAATTGGAATAAACGAGATATTTCAATTCAGCTTCAACGCAAAATAAAAATAGTTTATTTTTATGCTTGTTTATTGCTCATCAAAGATTTACATCACCATATCCTAAGATATGGTAAAACCATATATCAATATACCCGCCGAGCAAACAAGGATCAGGTTGCAAACTTCCCTCGAATGTTGCCTAATGGCAAACATCGATAATATGCTTTCCCATCGTTATTTTGGTGCCGATCTAATAAATGCTAAGAACGGCCTGATCACAAACTATTTTAAAAGTTTGTAACGCGTTTATTTTATTATACAAAATACATACCATGACAGATTTAATACAACCAAATATTACTGACATTAAAAATTTTTATAAATAAAACAATAATAGACAGAAAAGTAATATAATGCTAAATATTGTACCAGGTTAGATACAATCACTTTTCAATGCAAAGCTTGCAGCTGCAATGTTATTCTGAAATTATTCATACAGGGATTAAGTTTGTTGAACTTTCCTCGATTTTGAAACACAGGGATTACAAGAAACTTGAGGGATTGCCTTTCGACCATCAAGATTTACTTGCACAATACCCTTTCAGAGTTGAGATTAAATTTTAATCCAAGCAAATTTACTTTGGGTCTGCACTCTAATACTCCGCGATTGCAAAAGTGAAATGTGATATATTTATTGAAGGAAATATCAAGTGGTGGCTCCGAAGCTAGAAGCTGGATGTGTTTACGTCTTTTTTATTAATTTCTCAGTATTAGAAGGCCAGGAAATTGTGGTAATCGATGAGTGTTTGGAAAATATTGTGTAAAGATTTGCTTATGTGTTGTTTGTTCTTTTCTGGAAATATATTTTTACAGCATCATAGAAGGTTCGTTTCCTTGGACTAACGGACCAATTCTGAACATACAAATTAAAAATTATCACATATTTCTTTTAAATTCTGTGTTACTATTTTACTTTAGGTTACATACGACAGTAATTAAAGTATATAATATTTTCACAACGGTACTTCTAGGTAGCAGAAAGATAAAATCGTTCGATCTGGAAGTAGTGGATATACGGTAATAATGGTGGTATAATAGATGAAAATATTTGAATCTAAATTGAATGTAATTTTTAATTATTGACAACAAAGTCTCGCCCCAGGTTGCTAAATAATAATATTGATTCATCAAATATGTCCCCAAAAATATGCGAAGGACTGAAACCCACGAATTGCATAAAATATATGAGGTAAATATAATAATAATATAGGCATATGAATGACTACTTCATTCAATTGCGTGCTACAGATTTATTGAAATACCACATGCGATTATTCGGTTGCGCTGAAACTTGCTAATAAAATAGATCAATGGAACTTTTTATTCACTATAATTCGTGTATTTGACCACCTTTGTCGAATTAGTAACACAAACCAATCAAAACCGTTTTAATAACGATTTAAACTGGATGCATTTATGCAGCACGGAATTAGCATATTTACATTCATTGATTTAGAATTTGTATTTTAATTCGAAAAATATTCATACGTCAAATAATTTTACCCTGTAATTTTAAGAGTACATAAATTAGAATGTTTTTATATTGTTACTTTTTATTGTATTGTTTGTTGTAACCACAAGCATTTGACTAAGCTTTTTCCCTTTGCTCTCAACTGAGTTCAGTGTGCTTTTCTATTGCGAAAAACAGTTCTTGAAAAATATTCTGGTTGAAATTGGCAAATTATTATGTAATAATAGGTCTCTCAATAGTCCTCTAGTCCATTCCGTGAATTAATTTGTATGTTACAAGCACATCGATACGGAAATATTCAATTCAAATATGTAAATCCCAGTTTTAAAAAAATAATTTGGGTCGTCTTTTAAAAAGCTCTATAAATTTTTCTTTTCTTAGTGAAAAATTCTAATCGGCATCCGAATCCACCTTAAGGTAAGGAGATATTTTGACTGATACTTACCGAAAGGCAGTTCGAAGCGGCAATCGACCAGCAAAGAATGTCCGGTTGCCATTTTCGTACCAACTACTTCTCCGTCTTTCATTACTAGTTCTGCATCTAATGATAACCATTGGCCAGTACCCTCCTAGAAAGAAATACAGAAATTAGTATATTTAATCTAAAGTAATAGTTTTTTCAAAGTTTATGAATTTAGCTTCTTAATACATGAAATATGTTCCACTGAAATGAGTTTTTCGTATTTTTTTTCCTTTAAATTCCTGAAGTTTGAGTATCGGTAAGAAATAAATGCATCATTTTTTAAATTTAATACGAAACAGGCGTTTCCATTTGAAAAAATAAGATTGGTGGTTAGTGGCAACATTTTCAGCTAATAATAAAAACTTATTCGAGAGGTTTCTGATGTATATGTAAATTGGTCTATTCCTATCAATTATTCCTTCAATAAAAAATGTAAATTAATAGGCAAAATTTTCCGAATATATGTACCACGCTAGTAAGTGTACAAGTTTTATCAGAACAGCTATATTACAAACTTCTCTTTGCTTTTAATGAAGCTCGTTATATCAGTAGACACAAAACCGGCTAAACATATCCCCTTTCACAAAACGTGATATAACTGTAGAAATACCGAGTAAAACGCAAAGCTGCTTCATTAAGTCAGTTATCCAGTTTTTCAGTTAAATGTGTCTATCAAAGCAACTTTTAAACTATATTACGCTCTGCATGATTTGTTTATAATTAGCAAACCACCTCACTAGAGTCACTCGAAATATTTTAGAAAAGCAGTTGTCGATAATTTCAACAAAAAATTGTATATCGATATAGCTGATTGAAAGTTTCAAGCGTGGGAGTTTAAGTAATAAAGTAGTTCAGTAAAAAGTTTGCTGCTCTTGAAAAACAGACAGATCGGATCGATTGTCTCTTAAAAAGATAAATTTCACGGAACGACTTTGCATGTAAAGTCCTAGAGGTTCATGTTTAAAAGTTGGCTTTCAAGTGATTCGGATCTACATAAAGATGGATTATATGCGTTTCCATTGAAATGTTAAGTGAAATATTTCGGTTTTAAATTTATTTATCTAAATCTGAAATACGGTTAAAATCGAAATGATATTTTCTCTATTCGATCAAATATTCCGATAATAGAAAGGTGTTAAATTTGTTGAAAAATTACTACTTACGCTCACTCTATAATATAATTCATAATTCAAGACATGTTTGGTCATAAATATATACAAAAAATGCAAAATGAAGATTTGAAAAAATTATAAAACTAACTTTGTTGACACATAGTGTTAACTTTAATTAGATTAGGGACGGAGACTGTAATTAATAGGAGTTCGTGCAGAGAAGTACATTTCCTCATACTTCATTTGCAAATTTAATTAGATTAAAAATTTTTATTACAGCTTCTAACTAAGCCAGATGAAAAGTTAGCCTCGCGGCGACAGAGAAATGCATCATTTATTTTAATTTTAAAAATACATTTTCATCAAGCAGATAATACATTCTATGCTGCAACAAACGACTAAGTGGGTGTTTTTCTTTCTTAGAAAATGAAGCAACCCATTTTTTATGTCAAGACTGCATTTATTATGATGGCAGAATATTAAAATTAACCGGAAACGGAAGGATCTTATGGGAAAAGTATTTACGAGCAGATGAATTATTATTTTGTAATCAAATATAATACACGAATACATTGATATGAATATTATTAACTTTTAGGTGCGTCTTTTCATGCAGACTATTTGTTCTAGTTTGTTTGATTCCACGCTGTAGTTTTTGGTTCGTATTCTTTCAAGCTTAGAAATAAGATAACATAAATTTCGACATATTGTAAGCGACCAGAAAAAAAGGTTTTTCAGTAGAGAGTAAAGAGCTTTATTTCGATTAAATATTGTATTTGGTTAAATGAAATTGTTACAGGCAATATTAAACTGAATTTGATTTTTGACAAAATCAATGAGCTTGGAAAAGACAACTTTTCTTCGCTTAATAGACACTGATTCTAGAAATACGCAGTTTGAGTTTTTTTTTTAATTATAAATATTTTTACATTGCCATATGCATAAAGACGATAAAACCATAAAAAATTGTTTCAACTCCGTATATTGTTAACCACAAGAAAAATGTACACATGAAATGAAGAAACCTTCATTTCGAGACCAGGTAAAAATGTTCTCCCAAAACACCCTCAGAAACATTTCCCTAATTTTCAGTCACACTGTATATAAAATCGAAGTTATGCCAAAACACCATAACTTTTTTGAAACCATCGTTCCTACTTGTTATCTGCATTTCAAACGAGAAAGCTTACCTCGATTGTATAGTGGACTGTCTGTAAAGGTATCCAATGGTATCCCATTGCACGATCCCATATCATGCCCTTGCTCCATACCTCTATTAATAACCCTGTATTTAGATTGCTTGTTTCGCTGAAAATTATAGAAAACGAAAGTCAGACATTACAGTAAACGATAATTAATTATTATTATATATTAGCATTAACATAAAAAATTAGACTTCTTTTAGCTTAAATACAAATATTGGTGCTTTGCGCCAAACGGCAACTACAACTTGACAGTCAATTTCAAGGAATTTAAGAACAACAGATGAGGTTGTTCCCCAAAATCACCAACTTTCAAATGAGTTACTATTTTATAAACAATGTAATAGATAAATCAATAAAAGTAAAAAGCATCGACTGGCCACTTTCTAAACGAGAAATGCTATTGCTTTGCCTGCCAACAATATGACTTAAACTTAATATACATTTTTATATTCCGCGTTTTTACATTTGCGTAGTGCAAATCATCCGTTTGATATTGAAACATTCTTCTTGGTACCCCAGAAAGCAAAAATTGGATATATCAAATTTAAAATAGTTTTAAAATCGTTTCTGTTTTAAATTGGCTTAATAAATCGCAATGCGTTAGACTTTTGTGAAAGCGCTGCGGTTTAATCTTAACGAGTTAACGTTCTTAGTTGGCTGCATTCCAGATGGCATAAATTAAAACCAGCAGTCGAATTAATTAAAATAAATATTCACGCCCAATAACAAGTAGTAGATAATTTTATACTAATATTTCATTTATTGAAAAGTTTCTCCATAAAAACATGAAAAATATAAAAATGTATCCAAGAGAGACAATGAAATGGCCACCGAATCGGCTTAGTAAAATCGAAATGACGAATTCAACGAAAGTCTAGATAGATCGACACAAAAAGTGTGTTAACTTTCATACAATGATAAGTCTGCCGAAATATTTTTTGTGAAATTTGTGATACAAATAACGAAATAGGAAAGCGAAACTGTTATGAAAATTATCAGTGACTTTTACACCCGATGATATTCCTCTCAATTAAAGTCATGAAGATTTCAGATAGAAGGCAGAAACGTTTCGTAAGCAAATGAATCTAAAAAGCAGAAACAGGAAAATAACAAATTATTATAATCGCTCACTTCCAACAGACCTCACTCGCTATTTCGTGTAGAATACAACGTTCGAAACAGAATTGTTGTCATTCGCTTTTCTTGTTCCATTTCTATTATTGCAATTGCATATTTATTAGGTCAATTTAGAATTTAGTGCAGCCTTCAGAATTTTTATTTTATTTCCCTGACTCCTGACGAAGTCCCTTGAATAATGTTGATGGATGTGTTCACAAACAAATTAGAGGAAACTAACTTGGCATTCTGAAGCTTTCTTAATTTTAACGCCTTAGTGCCACTTCACTGTTCTGTAGCACTTTCCTAGAGCAAACACTATTTAATTGATGCTTGATGCGGTTGGCTTTTGAACTAGTGGCCAACATTTGCAGTGGATGTTTTATACATGGTGATAAAATTATTTGCTTCAATTCTATACTAGCACATGAGTCTTCTAAATTTTCTTTTCAGTTTTTTGTTAATTATTTTGTACAATAACCACGCATATGAAGTATGTTTTATTAGACCAGTGAACATGTTCTGGTAAACAGTTCCCCCTTCAGTAAATCGAATTCTGTTCAGTTATACAGGGTTTCCCTTAAGCACATGATCAAAAGGGTACTGCGATATTCTTGGGTCAAAATAAGACTGTTTATTAAGCTGATTTTGCAGCAGACCATCTTTAAAAACGTACAGTCATCGAATTAATGAAACTGCATGCCTGAGCAATTTGAAAATTAATCTAAAATTTTACTGTGTTAAACATGACTCTGGCAGACCATTGTTTAGTTCTCACACTTTAAATGTTAAATGTCCTCGCAAATGAGGTTCTAAACGTAATATAAGAATTGCGCTGTGAATTCAACGGTATCACAAATCTGTGACCTATTTGTTGGAGTATGAAAAAAAAATCCCTTTTAAACTTAATCCAGAAAGGCTGGAAAGAAGATCAACCTGTACCAAAGAGCGGGGAATTAAGTTTGGCTTAAGGACTTCACAGCATAGTAGTTTTAATGTAGCACACGATTAAAATTGAGAAAGTAAATTTACTGTCGCCGCAGAAACAAGCGACAAGGATTTTTATAAGGGATTATAGTTTTTGCTAATTATGTAAACGCATTATAATTAAAACTACTTCATAACCATTGTAGAAAAGTAACCCCTATGAAGTGGGAAACTCATAATAGAGTTTGGTGCTTTTTATAAAAATTGCTAATATTTTGAATGATAATTTTGAAGCAAACTAAATAAATTATGTGTTTTGAAAATAGAAGTACTTACAATAAAAAATCTTGTGCCCAACATGGCGATGCTCCTTTAACTGTTACAGTTGTAGATTTGACGTTTTGAAGCTTCAGAGTAACGTAAGTATTGAATTGGGCAGCTGAAACAGAAATTATTATTTATTTACCTTGCAAGAAAAATAAGTTCCTGCCTTAACTACAGTGCCGAACAGGGCAAAGCTGATGTTCTACAGTTTAGCGATCAAATTTTCCTTGCAATAATGCTCAATTTGCAGAAGATGTTTGTGTTGTTGAAAAGGATTTGCATTATGATTGCAGAAGAGAGAATGAAATGATGACGACTGATGCTACACTGCAAACACATACAGTTGCAAACAAAATCAACAAAATTTGAACTAATAACGTATAAATATAATTTAAAGACACTGAGTGCATCGTCAATAACATTATGAATATGAAGCCTGTAATCAGCACCTAGATCATGCATCATTAATTATTTTCATATTTTTTATTTCAAAGTCAGCCACCTTAAATAACTAGTGTTGAAGTTACTTGGTGACGGTGTGATGATAATCGTAATTAGTGATGGATGTTGCTTTCTGTGTTGGGGTTGAAGGGTCAATAGATCGTGGCAAAGCAGTTCTTCTTGGACGTTTTTTGTGTGTTCATCACAAAAATTAATTGAAAATTTAATAGGATGCTCTGGCAAACATTTGCCATACGATAACCGTGTTGTGCATATTGAGATATCTTAATAAATCTGTTTGTAGAAAATCCTTCTATCTACATTGCAGCGGCCTTTTTCTATCTTTGTGATCTTTTGCGAGACATCTTTTTGAGTTTGTCCACACGAGCAGTTTTGCCACTGCGGAGTCGCAAAAGGTTAATCACACGGAAAACATGGAAACCCTTTTTTTCATTCCATCTGTGGCCGTAGGAAAAAGCTTTTTGTTGCCAACTGTTGTTCGACAACCGCAACATTCTCATAACACCTTCCACTTTAATAGTGACACCAAAACAGTAAGAAATATATCTGGAACTGTAGCATGTTAATAATGGTTGATACAAAAGCAACAGCTTTCAATATATGCGATACTGAGTTTGCAACAAAAAATTCCACCGTCTCAGAGGAGCTTTATTATTTAGCCATAAACAGAAATGTTTCGGGATAGAATATGCTAATTTCAGGACAGAAGTATATAATTTCAAAGGTAATTTTTTATATACGTGCATAAGGTGAATCGAACAGCCTTGAAGCCATCAAAGTTCTGCAGATGTTCCTACTTTACTTATGAGTTATCTTAGATTTAAGCTCTGAATGAGGAGCGACTTTTATTTAAAGAGTTGTGTTGAATAGACTGTTCAATGAACTCAATTTTCTCGATTTGCATAAGTACAGAGAGCCCTAATGCTGTTTGGCCGAACTATATCTTTAGAATAATCCGATTTAGACTGATTTACGTTAAACTGCATCGTAGCCCAAGTTCTGGCAATTAAATGATTAAGCAATCCAGAGAGGCTAAAGCAATGCTGTCACTTGCCAATGCGGTACATTAATGGGTGAAAAGTAATTAGATCATTAAACCTCATTTGGCTAGAAGGGTATTGAATCAGGATTAATAAATTCTTCGGATTTACTTTGAATTAATCCTCGACCAGAAACTGTTTGTACAAAAATACAAAATTTTATATGAAATGAATATCAACAAACAGACGACATGAAATTTGTATGTTAACTCTATGAGAGTAGTAAAAAATCAAATCTTCCAGCGCCGAAAACATGAATAGAACACGAAACAGTCTTTGAAATTCACTTATATTAATATTGACTGCTAAAGGGCAACTTTGCTAACGGGGATTGGAATTCTGCTCGTGTCTGTCACTTTTATTTAAATCTACTAATATTGCAAGTAACGGTATACCATTATTTTAGTGCATTTCCCGCTGCTAGAATTCGTCGTAAATTCGTTCGTAAAGAGAATCCGTTATACTCATTTTTCTTTCCGGGGAAATTTCACAAAAGCAATTCGGTTTCCAGAAGTTGGAAAGAAATGTCTTTGCAAACTTAATAGCAGTTTCAGATTTAATTCGAATTTCGTCTGCAATTTAGGAACTGTTGAACATTTTCGTAAAAAAATTTTGAGTGAGAGGGTTTTGCATCTAAAAATGATCATAGATAGTAGTATTTATTTATTTTTGGCCTTTTATTAAATTTGTGGATGTAAAGTAGCCAGTTTCACAATAGTATCGCCCCTATAAAAATTACAGCAATTTACATTTTGTTCCAGAGATTCTAGAAAATATTTACAATAAGACGCCCCGTTAAATCCGCCAGAAAAGTTGTCCAACCGTTAACTCGAAGCTTATAACGGATTAAACGCCATCGCGTTAATTGATAGAATTTCAAGCGAAGCTTGCTTATTTCAAAGTCTTCCGATAAAGTTTTTAGGTCAATTTAGTTCCGCTATCAAAAAGTTTGCTTAGAAACATGTTTTGTTTTAAGACGTTCTTTTTTGTCGAACTAAGATTACCAGCAAAAGTATTTTTAGGTTCTCACAACAGTATAAAATAAAATCAGGATGAGACAAAAAAATTCAATATTTCAAGCTATAGAATTTAATGACATTTAATTTTAAAGTGCGTGCGTCCTTTTCACTTGAGTTCATGATCCTACAACTGCAATCGCGTGCGGAAAAATATTACTCTCCACCGGTAAATAACTAACTATAGATGACTTAGTTGTTTCCGCTAATTACGATAGATTTTCAACTGCTTAGACTATTTAAAGACGGAAAACGTTACTTCTACTTTATAAATTATCTGCAAAACATTGAAAAATGTATTATGTGTTTGTATACAGTGTTTCGTTGTATGTGGGATTCCTCTCTATAAGTGCTACAAGCTTTTTATTTTGATTGATCAATTGATCCACTTTGATCCACTTCTTCTCAATCACTACAGTTTTGTTCACTAATTCCATATTGAAAGTAAAGTCTAGAAACATTCCAGGCTGTTAATTCAAAATATGCTATATACAATATATAAATTATATAAAAATGCGCAAATAGTATTAGTCGATCTTCTACCTGCACTTCTTTGTCAGTTATTGCCTTTAATAATTTTGAAAATTATTTGAAGAAAGTAACATGTTAATGTTAAACAGATCAAGCCATATATTTTGAATCGACTTAATGCATAACGTTTGCAGAGACCTGCAACCATTTTTTTGAAAATTTAGTAGAATATAAGGCAACAATTTCTGAATAAAATCAATACGACATCGCAGCAAACTGCGACCTTTAATTAGCGGGTAGCAAGTTGATGATAATGAAAGCATTTTTAAAGCTGAGACAATTGAATCTATTAGAGGGAATTGGCACCTCCTTAAAACTCTGGATCTAATGGAAAGGAAATGACCTCAATCTTTGCAGCCTAAGGCTTCCCAGACGAGCTCTAAAAATAAATCAGATTATCTTGTTCGGCTGAACAGCCGCCAATTGAGGTTTCTCAGATATGCCCAATAGATTTAATAGTCTTAACCAATTTTAAATGGACTGCTCAAAACCATAAATCTGCTTTATGGTTTACGCGCGGTTAGTTTTCTGCAATGATTCAGTTTAACTGGCTCCTGCAATTTTCAGTTTCCGTATGATTCTCTTTAATAAGCAACCACAGTACGATAACAAAATGTTTACTGGCTTTATTTCTTAATTCACAAACATGCCAGTTTATTTCGAAAGTATTAATATTAAATGAAAGCAAACGATCAAATGAAGCAACACTCACCTTGAGCTCCAACGTAACGGGCTTTCTTAACTGCAAAAAAAAAGGAATTTTAAATACAGTTTTACAAAACTTCAATTCTATTCAAATCTCAATCATCAAAAAACGATGATAAAATTCGCTAAGAAAAAAACACATCTTTTATAATTATTGATGTATTTTAATTACCAATTCTACGTCTTCTTTTATAAATTACCCGATCCTTTTTCTATCCATGGATACGAAACTTTCCTTCAATCTAAACTACAATTGTATGGTCACTTATGCCGACTATTCTTTTAAACTAAGACTTCGTATAGTATCTGCTATGATCAGCATGATTTACGTATAAAAGAAGCTACAGCAAAAACGAATATTTTGACCATAAGATTTTACGATTCCAAAATTTTTAAGAAGTTATTAGAGGTCTGGTCAGAAGTCTTTAGAAGGTCAGAGGAGCTTTAGTCTTAAAAATAGTTTTAAGACAGTTACAATACAGTCATAAGAAGTCATAAGTCATAGCTCGGTTCGGTTACGTGTAAAATTTGTATTAATTTGGAATAAAATGTTTTTCAAAACAAAAGTTTCGAACTAATCAATAAAATTCTACTAAAACAACTTTATAATTTAAGACATTAACAAACATTATTGACCTGGCGGTTCTATTCATCAACACGATTATTATTAAGCGCAATAACGCATTAGATACAACTCTAGAAAGAAAGAAGCGCTCTACGTTCTTAATGGTTGGTCCATTCTGTTTCGAAAGCGGTTATTACGTAAGCTACTAACGAATGAATGAGAATAAATGGAGTAGGGTTTTCGAATTCCTTACAATTCGTTGACAAACGTATATTTCAAATATAAAACAGGAAAATTTCGCTGTTTTATTTCCTTTTCAAAGTGGGACCCATTTGATATTTACGGCTCAGCGAAATAATTTGTTTCGAATGTTTAATCTTGGGAAAAGGGGAAAAAGTTACAGGCGTGATTACTGCTTTGAAATATGTAATTTATATTTGGTCGTTGATACACTCTATTTTAAGCCAGGTTATATATTTTCCTACCCGACTCCAATGTTTAAAGGAGAAGAATCAAATACGAGGGATTTTTTGTAAATCGGCATCGTTAGAAATGGTTGTAAAACATCAAGGTAATTTATTTTAACTAAAAAAAGAAATATAAAATAGTCCACACTTGTGTTCGAATAAAACTGGTAGTGTTTCTATAAAATTGTCTATTTATTTCTGCCTTTTTCGTTGTTCCTAATTTTTTTCATAACTTGTTATCTTGTAAATGTTTCTTTTATTAGGAAGCATCAATCAAAAAATGTATTTGCTGCGATCAAACTTATTAGGAAGATGCGAAATTAGTGTCATTATTCTGTTGTTGACTGTTTGTCGTACGGATATTTAGAAAGAACAGGGCTAATAATAAAAGAAAAAGTAGTAGTAAAAATATTTAGTTCTTATGTAGAAATGTATAGCGGTTTCTCTGCCAGGTGGTAAAAAAATAATTCTTGCAATAAACTGAATTGTCAGCAAACAACTAAATAATAAATTTGGCAATAATGTTTTTGGTTGTATCAGGAATGATGTTGGATTTGTTTTTTGTGACTGGTTTTTTTGTTTACTTGGATTCTTCTTTATTACTCTGCATGTATTGTTAAATTATAGAAAATTTTCTAAAACATTTCATTTTGTTCCTGCTGCTTAAAATTCATCACTCCGATCAATTAAGGAGAGTTCGTTTGCTGCAAAATGTAGGTATTCCACAGAGTACAATGCGTGGGTTTTCAGGAACGTTTTCTTGTTTTTAGTTCACCTTTGGATGTAATATTACAATTTTATATGAAAAGGAAGGTTTCGGAACTTGGTCGAATCTGTAAAATTCGACTTTCTCTAGGATTCGATTTTCAGTTAGCGCTTGACCCGGTGGTTCTTTAAAACCACCAGATTCAGGACTGTTACGTAACGGGTCAAAATTAAATATTTTTACATGCCTGATGTTAGTGATTGTTCCCATCAAACTCTAAACTGTAACCTTACGAACAGAATTACACTTATTTTGGATCAGCCTGGTTATTCATATTGCATACTTGGCTAATTTTAAGATACGTTGTATTTAACTGTTTTGATTCTTCGAAAGATTCCTGAGTTTAGTGTTACCGTCAATGGCAACATAAATCAATCGTATATCGGTCGTGAAAGGTGCTGAGCTTAAAAATTAACTACTATCTAAAGGATAATAGTTCGTATGTAGTCGAAAAATACCTTTTTCTACTTAACATTACACTCAAATATTGTTTGCACTCAGAATATAGATACAGTTTACTTGAACTAGTGCGCATTAGATCTGCTGGTTTACTTAAACTTTCATAATAATTCTGATATTCGTTATTAAATTTTAAAATTAGAAACACTCAAAACATTTACATACAAAATAAGAGTTTTATTTGTACAATCAAGGAAGCCATTTCCCAACACGCGCTGTAAAATATGTTGTCGGTAAGCCTGCTTCAGATTTGCAAAGCAGGCAAAAAGAGTATTTCGTATTTCATTTCGTTAAAAGAAAGTCAGTAAATCTCCATCGAGAAAAAGTTGACTCTTACGCATCTCTAATGTAAAATATTATAAAAGGCTTGTCTATAAATAAGCCAGGAAGCTCAAAACCATCTGCTAATGAATACCGAAATTATTTTAAACAGCAAAAAACAAAATAACTGTGAACTGTGAAAGTCTATACACAATTGAAGAAGTCTTAAATATTTAAAAAGCTACTAGATTGTTTAACAGTGATAAACAATGCTGAGGTTCAATTGCGAATACGAATTTCCATGTTCGCGCAAGTATAATTTTGATCAGTTTTGCTGGTATCGCCAATCCTGAAGTAAAGGTAAAAATAATTACTGATTTCTGAAATTCTAGTACACTTTTGGACAAAATTAACGTTTTTTTTTTAAGACAGCAATTAATTCAACTGGGTCAGTTGATAGAATATACAATGATAGATGGTAGATGATAGAATACAATATCACTCGGATTTCCTGGAACTACTCCGTATAGTTATACAAATGTGGCTGAAGCTTTTTGTTACGTACCTCATTAATTTTTTATGTGAATAGATTTCATTCTAAGAGAAAATAGAAACTAACAAACGAGAAACTTTTTTTCATTCTACTGAAATTTAAATTAAAAAAGCATTAACTAAGCTACGGCCAACCTCAAAAATTTTTTTATGATCTAGATTACGTCTTTAATAATTTACAGTTGCAAAAGTTAATCAAAATGTCGTTAAAAAGTGACAGGTTTTCAATGCGAAATTCTTTTAAATTAAGAAAGTAATAACAGTGCTCCCTGCTTTATCAAGAGTTCGTCTTTAATAAAGCTCAGATTTAATAAACCAGGAAGTATTCCGTATATTTTCTGTTCGCTTACTTTTAATCTGTACATCTCGAATTACTATTAAGACGAAACGTGGCTTAAGCTGTAGAGTTATTGTTTTTCAACCTGAATAGAGAGCCACTAATCATATTGGAAGATTTAACTTATTTAAAATGAACCTTCAGTGTTGCGAGATTAATAATCAAATTGATCTGGAACATTAATGTTTAATATTGAATTTGTTCAGCTTGTTGATTTCATCATGTTTCCTTTTTCCTTCTATTTGTTTTAAAACCTAAATGAAGGTAATACATGTTACGGTATGAACTGTAGTCAAAATCGTGAAATCTGACACATTTCTTAAAAAAAAGCAAGTAAAAGCTGCCCTTAGGAACCTCATTGCAACTAATTGAAGCATATACCTGAGAACACTGAATTTTTACCGCGCCATTTCAGCATTTTACATTAAACTTTCACCTTTGAAACTCCTTAAATAATTTGAGCGGAACCTTGGAACAAACTCCTGGATATATATTCTATATTTTACGTTACAAGCAGTAAAGTATAGCGAATAAATGCAAAAATATCAGACAAGACAAAGTTCCATTATGCCGAAAGAGAAATGAAAGCCGTACATTTTGCACCACAAAGTGCCAATTCACTTGATGCAAAGAGACCACATTACAAATACTACAAAAATTGAAAAATCGTTACTTTCAAACACCAGTGACACGCTATTAGCCCTTATGTAAAATGCACGTGAAATCCCCATTTTTCTTTTGCTTGCAAATTTCTACTAGGGCACGGAAATATCCGTTGCTCTGGAGGTCCAAATCGATATTTTACATCACCAGGTAGTTGGCCTTTAATGGCCTTTGGAGGGCTTTTCCTAGTAGCATTTCTATAGATGATGGGGTTTATATGGCAAACTAAAAGCTTCTTATTATAAATGAACTGGATTGATCAACAATACGATTGTCATGTAGATAAATGACTGTGAACAGGTGAAATATAAAATATGTAAATATGTGGTGGGTATTTGAAGACCTGTCTTTCGAAGCGAGGAAAAATATTACAATTTATTGTTATTTTTAGCACTGTGATTTGGGTGCAAATGGTTTCTTACTCTGTTCCTAAGTTTGTAAATTTGCGCTCTGTCGTTGTCCTCTTGTATGTCTGTGACTGAAAAACTTTTTTCCACGTTTTACTGTCTAACAATTGTTACATGTTTCGCAAACTTCTACTTGCTGGAACGTATAATTCCTAGATTTTCCTGGGTTTCGGGTTTGGAAATATTTACGTCTATTTTGATTAATTGCCTAATTGCCTACTCTTAGACAAGACCACCAGAGGCCAGACGCTAACTTTGAGCCGCCGCAAGAGGATATTACTACTAAAAAGATAAATTCAAATTTTATTTGAATTTATTTTTTCCTATGTAGACGCTGTAGTGAAGCTGAGGTTTGAAAAAATATAAAAAATTTACAACCCTGAGAATGACAATAAATGATACTCTAAACGAATATGATATGCAATCAGGGGTACTAGAGAGTGATTAAAGTTGAGTTTTTATTTATTTTCTTAATGGACTTCAGCCCATTCCATTCAGTGCATACCCATTTTAGAACTAAATTTCCAAAAGAAATCAATCGAACTAAATAGTTGAGTCTC